CAATAAAATATGGCATCATTCTGGACGGAAACTAACCCCTACTAGATTGGTATTAAATTTTACGGGAAATCTAAATAACGTCGTTGCTGATATCATTGTCGCTACCGGGGATTTCGACTCTTTTAAAACCTATGACTATATTTTTAAATTGTCACTAGATAATACGAGTATAAAAGGCACATTTAGCAGGAAATACAGTAATTTTATCTGGAAAATAAAGTATTTAGTGTTATTTTTAAATTAACAAATGCAGTACAGGTAAATATTGTTTATTATGGTCTACTTTAAGTGAACACATGTTTCTTAACCTCCAAAAAGTGATAAAAAGATAATTCAATAAAAAATTTAAATTAAAAGTGCATTCCTGTGATAAATGATACCATATGTTTATAATTAGGAAAACTGTGTGTATATATGTTTATTTTCATAAAATTACCTTTGGAAACTAAAATTTACAGAAATCCAAATAGTTTTGTATCTTAAAATTGTTCTGATAATATATTAATGAACCTAATAATATAAATCTGGCCAGACACTATTACCTTTTAAATTTAATATTTTAAATAAGATATCAGAATCAATGATTAAAAGAATTGTTAAAGAATCATTAAAAAAGGTTTTAGAAGAAGTTTAAAAGAATAGAACTGAATTGATTCAACTGAGACTCGATTAATGCTGAAGCTAGAGGAACAAAACGCAAAAATAAGAATATTGGAACAAGAAAATTCTACACTAAAACAAACAGTCAAATATCTGGAAAATAATTTAGTTTTATTTAGGCTCAATAAGCCACAGGAAAATTTAACAATAGAATTAGTTATTAACGAGATAAAAAAAACTTGTTGGAGTCGAAGTAAATGAAGGAGATATAAGCAACTTCTATACACTTGGAAAATCACCAATAGCTCCCTTAAAAATCGACTTCGTGACATATTAAAAAAAAACAAAATACTTCAAAAACGCAAAAATCTCAAAGGCTCTGGTTTCTCTATTAACGAAGATTTAACGAAGGAAGATAGAGAAAAATATAAACAACTGAAATACTATTTAATAGATTACAGGAAATCTAGAAAATACAAAAAGTGTTATATTCGAGGTAACTATCTTGCGATAAACAACAATAAATACTCTTTAGAAGAGTTAAAATCTTTTGAACAGGAAGAAAAATGATCTAGTTGTGTATCAAATACTCCAATTCCCTCAACGCCGTTTGAAGAAGAAAGAGAAAAAAGCTTTCATAATCCTACTTGAAACTGAGAACAAGATTCAATTATTATTAATTTTGTCTATTTATTAATCATAATTAATATTCGTCCCTAATATTTACCATCTACATATTTGCATATCTTTGCACATCTTTACAAATCTTTGCATATATTTGAATTTTTTGCATATTTTTGCATATCCAAATGATCCAAAATTCAGCCATTCAAATTTTTTATTCACGTTATATTTGTCCCAATATATTTTTTTAGATAACAAATAGTTTCGAGTTATTTAAGGTTTTATATTATAACAATTTAAAACAATGTTTTCAATTATAGGTTTTTATAATGTATCAAATTATTAATCACAATTTAGTTATATAATATACGACTAAAACGGTGGAAAAATGTTAAGAATCCTGCTTACAGCCGAATTATATAATATTTCACTTTTGTAAATATTAATCAATAAAAAAAATTATTTATAATTCCCTTAGCATTGAAATGATTCTCTGCATTGCAACAAAAGACATCAAAACAAGTTTATATGCATCTGTAAGAAAATAAAACCGCGATTCCGTGCAGACTTGAATCTGTATTTCTGATTAAAAACTCTTCCAACGTAGAGCTATTCACTAGATATCAAAAGAATTATATACATATATACATACCCGTATCCTAAAGCTTCGAGTATTCAAGAGAAAACTAAAGTCTGCAACCTGTAAAACTTTTTCTTATTTGATCCTCCGAACAAAGAGAATCTTTTCCGAGTTGTCGCAGTTCGTACTTCACTATTCTATTATTATCTATGAATTTTCTTCTATAATTTTCATATTGAATCCATTTTTCAAGTATCGAAACTCTTTGATTTTCCTTTGTGGTTCGGTGGCTAAAGAAATTTGTTATGCTAATGAAGGGGTCTCTTTTAGCTGCTGAAATTTTTCGAGATTAAGTTATTTGATTCGCATTTGCTATTAATTTTTAAATAATAAAAGATCAAAAAATTGTTTCAAATCTGTCGATCTAAAACAGGATGTGGTATGCAAAATTGTAACTTTTAGCGTGTTGCAGCAGCCCTAAACCTAAATATTTTGACTGTCAACTACCAAGACAACAAATTATAGCAATGCAAGAATTAATTATTATTGGAAATCAATAAAAAAAAATTTCACTGACTATATAAATAGTTGTGAAATTTGTCACAGAACTAAATATAATAGAAAACCTCCTGATGAACCTTTACCTTTAACAGATACACCTTCAAAACCTTTCGAAATCATTCACATCAATACATATAAAGTATGATCTTATAGATTTTTGACAATTCTGGATAAGTTTTCAAAATTTAGACAAGCTTTATCACATTTTGGTACTTTAATTTCAGCCTGTCAAAATGATTTAGCCTTAAAATCGTTAGTCTCAAGTACCAAATGTATCTGGCCTATTGTAAGTAAAGACAAATATTCAGTTCTATGACGTGTTGCCTTGAAAGTGAAACCATTATTCAGTTCAACCTATTTGTGTGAATCTTCTTTTTCCAATATGAAGTTTATTAAGAACAAATATCGCAATCGACTTACAGATGAACATTTGGATAATTGTATTCGAATGGTTGTATCAAATTATACTGCAAACATTAAAAAAATTATCGATGAGTCTGAGTGTCAGCCTTCTTATTGAACGTGCTTTTTTATTTTTCAATGTTTATGTTCATGATAGTGCGTTACTTTTTTGTTGTTATTATTAACTTCTTTTAAATCTTACGTGACATGCCGTTGTGGCTGAATAAAAGTTTGTGTTTATTTTTCAAACACTTTCGTTTGGTAGGTAGTAATGTAGCTGTGAACAAGTACGTACTAGTAATATTAGTTATTTTGTTATTAGTTTATTATTAGTACCTATGTATTATGTATTACCAGTTAAATAGTAAAATAAATACATATAATGATAAATTAACTGTGGATTATTTCATTTACGTTGCATTACGTGGCTTCCGTGTAGGTAGCTCGCTGTTTATTCCAAAATTAACAAAGTAGCTCAACACATTGAGAAGTTGGCGACCACTGTCCTATAGCAACACTTTGCAATTTGGGGCACTATCCTATTAGTAGAAAAATGGTAAAAAAATCGGTCCATAGGTTTTCAAAACACCAATGTTACATGATTGATGCACAGATTAATTTCGTACGTGGTAACATGAGTAATTTTTTCGTTTAGTTTCCATTTTTCCAATAATCTCCCTCGTATACGGCTCGGCGAAGAGTTAAATGCAAAACCACCTGGCCCATAACTCTGCTGTTCAGTGGTTCACTGAATTCGCTTAACAAACATACATCAGCAACACTGTATTGTTGTAAAAGGGCCATAATATCCCCATATCTCTTGAAATCGATGTTGAACGGCCATTTGCATATACATCGTAAAACTTCGTCTCGTACCCAACACCCCGTGTACGTAATGCGCTCTCACTCCATAATCTGCCGCCATTTTGATGTTTATATATGTGTGTGTGTGCGGAAGATTGCTTTCCTGATGGCTAATGTCGCATCAGGCAGTAATGTTGTTGCTCACAGTCAATTTTCTGAGGTCAGGATAAATTTGAAATTCATGAAAACAAGTGAACTCGTTTGTTGTTGTTTTTACGTTGCAACAGAATCTGCAACACAGGCGTACACAAAAAAACGTCATTATTAAAAATAAAATGAAAATATTGGAGAAAAGGAGATAGAAAAATATTATAAATAAATAAAAATAAATATTTGTTTTCCGTAATTGAACCAGTTTTTTAGATTTTTCTAAATAGAAAAGATATTTGGACTAGTTTTTGTCTATTTTGATTTTTCATCTATTTTATTATGAATTTATGTTATTCTACAACTATTTAGCGGTAATACTTAAAACTTCTAATTCAAAACGATTGTTTTTCGTATTTTAACCAGTTTTTTAGATTTTTCTAAATAGAAAGATTTTTGGACTAGTTTTTTCATCTATTTTATAATGAATTTAACTTATTTTACACCTATTTTGAATCATTACTTCAAACTTTTATTTCAAAACGATTGTTTTACGTAATGTAACCAGTTTTTGAGTTTTTTCAAAATAAAGAAGATTTTTAGACTAGTTTTTGTCTGTCTTGCCTTTTCAGCTATTTTATAATCAATTTTTCTTATTTTACACCATGTTTCGGTTAAGCATATAAAGTTTGTGCTAAAGTCTGTCAGGACAACTTGTAAATTATTGAATTTAATATTATTAACACCCTGTATATTAAGAAATAATGATTTTTTCTCTAGTGTTTGTATAAAAACTTACTAAACCTCCTTTAGGGTTAATAATGGCTTTTTTAATTTTTTTTTCCTGGATTGATATTTTAAAACTAGAGTACTGACCTGGATAATTTGACTCAATATCCTCACAGGACACTTCTGTGAAAGTTGATGGCCTTTTAGATGCCGAAACTAATTGTCGCTCAAACAAAAGTCAAAATCTTTCTTAAATGACTGATTTTTCTTTATTTATATTATTTTTTTTTATCTACTATACATTTTTCAATGCATTAGTTATTAACTACTGTGCCTGCTCTTGACCAAAATTTTGGGGAATCACTATGAAAGGATATAGATATTAGTACAGATGTAGGTTACAATATACCTTCATGAATTCTTAAAAGTTTTTTTGCCCACATTTGTACTGAAATCTGTCATGTAAACCCTCAAAATTTTGGTCACAAGCCGCCACTGAATAACAATCTGTTTTTATAAACAGTAAATACGTTTAAAAATAAAAAGTCAAAAATTATAATAAAAAATACTTTTAATAGAATTTGTTGATGCTCATTTAACAATATTATTAACATTGTTATCTCGAACTAACAATTTTAGTTTAACAAAGAGTAAACTATGATGAGACATGTAGTAGGTCATTAACTCTAGGTAATCTAGGTTTGTCTTTGACACAACATATTATAATCTTATTACCATATAATCAATCCTTTATTGGTGGTACAACACTGTCATAAGGAGGCGGCACTAAAATAAAGTAAATCAGAGTATTAGAAAAATCAAATTTCATAGAAAAATGTAAAATAAAACTTGAGACGAAATAAATATCGAATTAGAACAAAATTATCATGTGGTTATTGTATGCTACATTTAAAAATGTTAATAATAATATGAGAGGATTAAAAAAAGGATAAATTAAAAAGATTTTAATTAAAATAATTTTCTGAAAACAAATTGTAGGTAGGACTCAAGTAGACTTCCATATAAACTGATCGTCAGAAGGAATATTGTTAGAAAGTGTTTAGGAAAATAATTCAAATTACCATCAGTGCATGTGATTTGTGTCAAAAATTTTCCAGCTTAAAATTTTATTTAAAAAAATGTAAAAATTAAAATTGCCCTCTTAATTTTAAAGTGCCAATAACTGCTTGGCATACTTTCCACTAAACTGTTAAGCACATCTAGCCTGATTTGCATCCAAAGTTGAGGCAGTAAGTATCTTAACTGCTCAAGACTACCAGGGGGTGTGTTTCGTGTACATCTCATGGTATCTGAAGTTGATTCCAAGCGTACTCGATGGAGTTGAGATTGGGAGAACTCGAGGTAAAAAACTTTCAGGTATATTGTAAACATTGAAAGTTGTTTACCCGAATCTGTTCTGTTATGTCATTATGAACCCCAATATGTTGATCACTAGCAGCCACTGCGAATAGATATATCGTAGAAGATGCCGCGACATGTAAACAGATCGAATTTATAATATAATATGATTTGATGAACAATGAGGATTAAATATTTTGCTTTTGGAAGATTATTTGACTTTTGAAAGATAATTAAAAACAGGTTGATTACAAATTAATTTCCTTTGGAAAGTCGTGTCTTATTTTTTTTATAACCATCCCAACTTTTTTCGAAAGTTCATAGGGGATATTCCATATCACAATTGTATTACAGAATAATTAATTAACAATCTACTTACAATCATTTTCTATTATCCGAGCACTGTCCGATTGATCTACTGTTGATTGAACCATTGTAAAATTATTGCCTAAAAATTATTTAAAAAATTGGTTATTTGTAAAACCAGGTATACATTTTAGTCTGGTAAAGACGACCTTTTTTATATTTTACTTCAGTTTTAAGCCTAATAATAATGTTTACGTTTATATTAAATGTGGACCTTGAGTTTTATTTTTTTTTTTTGATAGAAATGCCACATTTGGATCAGGCACAGAATTAATTTTATTAAAATTGAAGAAGATATTAAAAAAAACATCAATTTTAAAATTTAATCAAAATTAATGAATAATACTTACTATCTATTGAAGATATCAAATATGGTTGTCGAGATACGTCTCCTTGAAATCCGTAATTAGTAGAAGCTTGTTCTACACATGATATTGGCGGATAAGAGTGGTCTCTTTGTAAATTTTGTCCTATGTCTATATGGCCTAATTCCGGGAACATTTCAACTTTTAGATTGATATGAGGCCCTGGAAGTTTAGCCACAACCTGAAAATTAAGTGGTAAAGTACTTGTTTATTAAATATGGTACGTCTATGCGTGTGGAGGTTAATTATTGATAGAAACCATATTCTTTACTTAAAACAAATATAATGTGTTATAACTAAAAGTGACTAATTTAAGATAGTCAATTTAAGCTGACGTTCATGTCCTCTTTTTAAAAACATTTAATGCTTTTATTTCTGTGGTTTTGGGGATTTGGTCAGTTTTTCTAGGCAAAGGATATTGTATTTTTAAAAAATTTGGTCAAAAACAACAGAAAATTACAATTTTGGACTTAATCACTTTTGGTTTAAGCCTATGATATTATTCAGCATAGTATATAGCAGTGGTCGCCAATCTCTCAATGTGTTGAGCTACTTTGTTAATTTTGGAATAAGCAGCGAGCTACCCACACGAAAGCCACGCAACGCAACGTAAATGAAATAATCCATAGTTAATTTATCATTATATGTATTTATTTTACTATTTAACTGGTAATACATAATACATAGGTACTAATAATAAACTAATAACAAAATAACTAATATTACTAGTACGTACTTGTTCATAGCTACATTCCTACCTACCAAACGAAGGTGTTTGAAAAATAAACACAAATTTTTATCCAGCCACAACGGCATGTCACGTAAGATTTAAAAATAGTTAATAATAACAACAAAAAAGTAACGCACTATAATGAACATAAACATTGAAAAATAAAAAAGCACGTTCAATGAGAAGGCTGACACTCAGACTCATCGATAATTTTTTTAATGTTTGCAGTTTAATTTGAAACAGCCATTCGAATACAATTATCCAAATGTTCATCTGTAAGTCGATTGCGATATTTGTTCTTAATAAACTTCATATTGGAAAAAGAAGATTCACACAAATAAGTTGAACTGAATAATGCTTTCACTTTCAAGGCAACACGGCATAGAACTGAATTTTTCTTTACTTACAATAGGCCAGATACATTTGGTACTTGAGACTAACGATTTTAAGGCTAAATCATTTTGAAACTCAATTACTTCCATTTCTGTTGCAGCGATGCCTTCGCCAAAGTTCTGCATAACACAAGTTGCATACTGTTGGATATCAATTTCCATAAAGGGCGAAACAACAAACTGCGCTACTAAAGCGATTTCGTTGAAATCCTTAAAACGATTTTTGAAGTTATTCTTCAGGGTAGAAACTATTTTTACATGATATTTGCTGTCACAGGGTTCTAATGGATTTTGAGATATTTTTTCTGAAAGAATAGGAAAATGCTTGACATCGCTGTTAATTAGGTTTTGTTCCCAAAACTCCAGCTTTTTGATAAATGCTTTTATATCAAAAATCATTTCCGCTAGTTCTTTGTCTCTCCCCTGAAGCTGCAAATTAAATTCGTTTAATTTCTCTGTAATGTCCACGAGAAAACCAAAATCTTTAAGCCAGATTGAATTTTTTAGTTCCGGAGTCGGTTCATCGCGTTGTTTGAAAAATTGAACTATACCAGATAGGACATCATTAAAACGTTTCAGCACCCGTCCTCTACTTAACCATCGGACTTCAGAGTGAAGGAGTAGGTCCCCGTATTGACAGTAAACTTCATCGGCCAAGGTTTTGAGTAATCTTCTTTGTAACGCTTGAGCTTTAATCTTGTCCACAATTTTTACCACCAGTTTCATAATGTTGTTTAGTTTCAGGAAATTTCCACGTAATGCTTGCTGATGGATAATGCAGTGGTAACAGAGAAATTGCGGAAAAGTTTCATCTTTACGACATAACGCCACCAGACTCTTATCACAACCCACCATAGCTGGAGCGCCATCGGTTGTCAAGCCTACCATTTTCGATATTGGAATTTTCTCGGAAGAAATAATATTTTTTAAATGAGAAAACAACTCCTGTCCATTAGTGTGTCCTTTCAGTGGAATAAACTTCAAAAGATCTTCTTGGCAGTGTCAACGACATCTGTTGATTCATCCAGTTGAAGTGAAAAATAAACACAGTTATCTAAGTCAGTTCTTAACTGTAAAAAAAATATCATTGCTCATTACTTCTACACGTCTCATCACTATATTAGCAGAAAGTTGCATAGATTTTATAGCTGAAACGATCTCGTCTTTATTTCTAAAGTTGGCAAATAACGAATCAGCTGTTTCTAAAAACGCCTGTTTTATCATTTCCCCGTCTTCATAAGGTTTCTTTTTTTGTGCGATTATCTGGGACACACGGTACGATGCTTCAGTTGCAGCCTTATTTTTGTCGACTGTTCTTAAAAATATTGATTGTTGTCCAATTAACTGCTTTTTTAACTGTTTCAGTTTCTCCTTTCTGTTTTATGCTGTCTCTCAATATTTCCTTTTTTAGCAACGGAGACCGAAGTATTACATAACAAACACACATTTTTATCTTTAACTTCTGTAAAAAAGTATTGTTCTTATTCCGAATGAAAGTGGTATGTCTTTACCTTCTTAGAATTGCTTGCCATAATGTTATTTTTTGTTGTTCTCTATTAACCCAACCGCTGGACGTTGGTTACGTGTTCAGTTTTAAACTAAGCGCAATGTCGCCGCGCCGTGTGTATTTATCCCGTTCAAAGCAATCCTGATCATTCTCGAACACTAACGCGCTGGTCCGGCTGGTCGGTTCTAGCCGATTCTAGCTTAATGGCGTCAGCGGCAGATCGCTCACCGCAACGTTGCCGCTGTTTATGTTTAATATTATGACAATTAGATTTTTTTGTGGAATTTTTGCAGTTTGTATTTTTTAAATTAAAATCGTTGTGAGAGCTACCAGAATTGCCTCCGCGAGCTACCGGTAGCTCGCGATCGACAGGTTGGCGACCACTGGTATATAGAATATCTAATATCTGCTAAGTATAGTAAATCATTCATTTTTACTAATGTGGCATTACTTTATAAAGAAAGAAAACTCTTAAATCAATCATAATTTTATTTATAAACCATTTATAAAAATGTTTTTGCTTATATACTCTTCATCATGTTATCAACTATGTAACTTTACAATTTTTGGCCTGATGATGGTCCATAGAAGCCGAAACTAGTAGCCAATTAAAAATAAAATTATGGTAAATGACTTATGATAGGATTTTGGGAAATATCCTATAAGCTACATAATCTGTAAGATATAGTAATGTATTTTTTTAAAGATTTTGGCTTACATTAGAGTTTTCTTTCCTTATAACATCTGCTACCTACTAATTATTAACTTACCGAATAAGAATAAGTCACTTTGAACAGTTTACACATTGAGAAATTCGGTATTACAATATTCGCAGGCAATTTTACTGGCAAGGTGTAGGTATGTTGCCCATTTGATCCAATACCTCCTTCTTTTACGTGCAACAGCTTATTAGAAATTGTTTTATTTGGTTCTGAAGAGTCATCTACCTTGCAAGTGATGCGCTGAAAAAAATTTACTTGTAATTTGTTTGAAGGTATCTATATCCCAAAAACCGAAGTTTTTGTAGATGTTATGCTACTGTAATCTCTAAATTCCAGTGTAACACCGGAACCATCACCTGGAACTTTAGAGAAGTTGTAATTTTAATTCAAGGACGACTTAGCCAAGTTTACAAATACGGGCTTAAATCTAAGGGCAAAAACTTTAAATACACATCCAAGCAATATGCAATCTACCTGTTTTAATTTCAATTCCACACTCTCAATGTTATTCCTTGATAAGTTGCTGATTCTCACTGATACTTTAACATTGTCTTGTGGTGTAAGAGATTTTTTTGGTAAATGAACATCCATTTCAATGTGTCCTCTAGACCAACAACAGCAGTAAAGCGTTTTGTTCTTAGAATAAGAAGTTGGTTCCTAAAATTAATATGATTTAATAATAAATGATAAAGGAACTTTGAAAGTTTCAACTACTAACTACACTAGGTAAGAATCATTTTTGTAATTGAGTTTTCCTTCCTGAAATAATATTATGTCTGTTTATATTAACTTTTTAGACATTTCATTTTCCTAATACCCACCTATAGGAGTTCTCCTCTTTTTCAAAGTGAGTAACTCCTTAGATTTTATTTAAAAACTGTTAAATTGAAATTTTTAATTGTTTTATTACCTCCATCAATGCTCTATCAGAGAAGCGAATATTCACAAACGAACTAAATAACACTTACCAATAATTCAAGTCCTCGTGATGCATTCAAGTCAACTAATGTTGCAACAACAAACATTAATGAATCTTTGTAATCGAAAGCCATCGGTCGATCTACAACTGCTTTCAGTCTATATGATACGGATCCATATTCGCCGTTGTATGTTCCAGGAATATTGTAAGGCAGTGTCAAAGTAAAAGGATATATATGCTGACCAGCCGGTATTGTGATTGTACCCGAATGATCTAAAAAGAATTGATTAATTTATTTATAAGTTTGAGGTCTCAAAGATAATTCAAGTAATAAAAGTGGCAGCCATAAATATACTATCAACATTGAAAGGGAGAAAAAACAAGTATTTATTTTTTTATTATATTTACAAGCAGGGCCCCGTAAAGGTACGTTTACATCTGACATTTATTGCATGAGATTTATTTCCGACAGTTGTTTGGTCCAGTGTAAACACACAAAAATTTCTCTCGGAGATATATGCCAGATGGTACTACTGACACAGATATACCATTTATGCGTAATTTCTTTGAAACTACTTTATTATTAAATATCTTATTTTTAAAAATAACACTTACGCTAGCACCTGTATCTAATAGAAATATTAATTTATGATTTTAAAAGAAAAATTCTACAAAATTTAAGCCATTTAAGGATAATATGTTGCAGTTATATTATACCATGTTATCGACATTGTTTTTTCTATATGAATTGTAACTTAAACGTGCCCGTTTTATTCTATGGTAAAAAATGCGAGAGAAAACAAATTCCCAGACACATGGCAACGTTTAAAAAACTGATCGACAGCTAGTAGATAGTCTAGCTGTGTTGTCAATGTAAATTACTTAAAATTTATTTTATTTTAAAGTACTCTCTGTTTTTTTATGTTTTTACATTTAAACAAGGTATCTAAAAGACAAATAATTAAAATTAAATAATTTTAACTATAATACATTGTAGGGTTAAGTAACAATTTTTTTTGCATAATTGTTATAGTGTTGGACGTTTGACGTTTCCGAAATTTTCTCACTATCTTATTTTTTTGAAACCATAGTATATTCTCTAGTAGTCGTTTCCTGATACCCACTATAGTTTATATTATTGTGTATTGTAAGATCATTAAGTATTCCGATTCAGTTCCAGATTAGCTTTGACTTGATTCTGTTTGAACTAAGGGCCTTTATGGCTGCGTTTGGCAGTCCGAGATAATAAAATGATTTGTTTTTTGTATTTCCGTTTTAGGTCATGTCTTGCATGTATTTCAGTTTGAAATGCAGTGGTTTGTTTTTCCAATTTCCCCATTAGGATTTAACTCAATGTACGCTACAGACTGGTTCCTGTATGTGAGTTATTTTGGCAGTTTAAGTAAAAGAATTATATTAAAACCTGTATCAGAAAAAAGTTGTAAAATAGTTTTTGACAACATACAGGATGGACTAAAAAAAGAAAGAAATATATTTTTATTTTCACCTTTTAGAAAAAATTTTATTCATCATTTATAAGTTTTTGTTTGTTTCAAAACTAATAATAATTCAAACACAAGTAGAATATTGACAAAATGTAAAAAAAATAACAAAAAATTGTCAATATTTTATTAAAGCTAAGAAATATTCAACTTTGTTTGAATTAATATTATTTTTGAAACAATCAAAAACTCTTATGATTAATAAAGTTGAAAATAAGAAATTTTTTTCTCCTATTTCTCAGCACATCCGGACGCACCCTGTATATATGTTTATTTTTTTATTTAACTTAGCTTATTTGAAACCCTGATGAATAAGTTACAATTTTACCAAATATTTTGCCGAACCCTCTGGTGTTTCTCCTAGAAGCTATAGGCTAAGCCGAATAGAAAACCACCAAGGTCAAAATGTACCCAAAACTAATTTTTTATACGATTTCAGTGATATTGGTGATTTTGGTGATTTTACTAAAACTCCACCCTAATTTTATACCATTTTTTACTATTCCCTTGTATTTTGATCCACAAGCTGGCTGATCCCTTGTGCAACGAATTGTTCATAAAACTGTTCGATTCAATTTACAATTTTACTCATTTTTTACATAATGTAGAAAGAGCACAATGAGTAAAAAAAAAGTTGAATATTAGAACTTACCATTTCCAATTAATATTATGTCAGTATGCATAAAATTGTGGTTCCCGGTTTTCAGTACAGTTCTTGATCTTGAACGTCGGTCTCTAGCATGTCTGTTATGTCTTGTTGTCCTTTCAGTTCCCATCCATTCTGTATGTTCGTCTCCTTTTAGTGTTAGTTTAATTTCTACAAAAATAAACAAAAATGGTGGATGGCAATTTTTGTACACTCACTGAGAAATTTATAAAAATTTTCTATTATATAAATGTTAATTTGTAAACTAGATAAAGATAAGAACTTATGTCAGAATTTGTTTTTTTACTAATGACATTAATGGCAAATAGTAAATTCTACAAGTTTCAGAATTACAATATTAAATAGAAATAGTAAAAATATCTATTAAAATTACATACAAAAAATAATGATAATAATTTAGAATCGATAGTTATCAATATCAGTTTGTTACAAACATTCAAAAAAGTCTAAATTGAGTTTTGTGACATTCAAAAAATGTATGATCTAGATGGCCATTTCAGTAATCTCCATATTTCTCCCACCAACGTTGTATATTTAAAGTCACCGGTGGATCCTTGGGGAGGATGCCTCCCTTGAGACTAATACATTTAGTAAATAACTTTGACCATTGAAATCTAATGAAAAAAATTTGCCTACGCTATGAACCCAGCAAATTGCCCCTTCTCTCCCTTTCAAAGTTTCTGATTACGCCCCTGTTTAAAATCAACATCTTGTAAATCTAGGTTAATTTTTCACACAGATATGGATTAGGGGAGATAAGAAATGTCATTTTCATCAGGAAAGTAGAATTAAAGGCGGCCATTTTTCATAAAAAGAGACTCACGCGCCTGCGCATTGATTGCAAGTAGTACATTTTATCAATTTTTTGCAACATAAGAAACAATGTGTTTTGAAATATCTAACAACTTAATTACATTATTTTCTGACATACAATAATTTTACTTTTCCATTCCCGACTCTAGGAAAACGGTATAGAACACAATATCATTGAATAGAGAGAAATAGAATAATACGAATGAGTTCAAACTGCAAAATCCCATACTTGCTATCAAGAAAGTGTGGTTAAATCAATTACTATCTTTATTCAAATACAATTATTAAGCCTCTCACCTTTATTTTGCCTAATATGTCGGCTTAACATACTCTATATTTTTTGACAATGTGAAAATCATTATATTGTAAAATGTTGACGGGATCCTGAGGAATACAATAGCCATTAAGATTCTTAATGTCATGGTGCAGAAGTAATCGTAGTCTATATGAATGGAAAAATTGTACAGATAAGATCTGTACGTAAGTTTATATATTAATAGACAGTTTAGAAGGGTTTTTGATTTTACTTATTTCTTACAAACTTAAAAAAAGTCTAGAAAACCAGTATTCTTCTTTTTCGATGTTTGAATAACATACATTTCTTTTCCATTTTATTAATTGTCTATAGTAAAAAATGCTTTTAAATTCACTAAAAAAGTAAATTTAAAAAAAAAAAAGAAGTCAAATTGACATAAATGACATTTCTGTCGAAACACTACAGCTACTACGCATGTGCGTGAGTCTCATAATTTGCAAACATGGCGACCTACATGCATTGCGTTCGGTCTGTCAAGCTTCGTTAACTCCTTTAACACCTTTACTCCAAATGACCCGTTTTATTTCAACTAGTGACAGTTCAATAATTTTAAATGTCATTTAAAAGCACTTTAAGACAATCCTTTTTTGTCCCATTTCAACCCCTAACTAATCCGAACTCACCTAATGTATTTTATTTTGAAATATCGGGGAAAAATGACCTTTTACTATCATGATTGTTCGTAGTAACATAACTGAAGAAACTTATAGGTTATGTGTAAATAAAAATTGATTTTATTGATTACTAGATTAGCTCCATAAATTGCAAATAAAAGTAACTAATAATTTTATCCAATTTTCAATAATTTTTGCGTCAATATTAAATCAAATTTAAAACGTATTTAGAAAAAACTTACTTCTGATTTTAGTTTCCGTGCTAACAGTAATCACAACTCTACCCTGTATTTGATTCCCTGGATAATAGTAACCACCATGGTAATTATCTAACCACACTTTACACTCAGTCATTTTTTTAAAATTTTAATTAGTTTTACACTAAACTTTCAACAAAATAAAAGTATTAGTACGTATTTCTCGATTTAAAGTGTAGGAATGAAATATATACGCACAATAACAACCGTTCTCCAACACACTTATTGATAAAATAATAAAAATAAGATTATTATCTAGTAAACTTTAATCATGAGTCATATCAATACTGCATACAATTAAATAATAATTATGTTATCGGGATATTCAATTAAAAAAATATATTTATAAGAAATGATGTCATTTTATAATGTGGTTGTTGAACCAGTTTGTGAAAGTTACAAATTTGAGGATATTACAATATGATGGGTAACCTTCAAACATACCAAGTGATGTTTTGAATATCTTTTTTAGAATGTATAAGTCAGATATTAACTAAAATATTTTTATTTATTGAGTTTCTAACAGCATTTTTATAATTGTTTTGCTTTTTTTTTCTACAGAAAGTTTTTTTGACTCTTATCTTTACTATTTAATCAAAATTTCAGTTACTTAATTTTGCAAGTTTTATTTTTCTTTACGGCACTATTTGGGGACCGAGGAAGAATCACTACTAAAAAGTTTTTAAAGATTGGACTAACTCTAGCTAACTTCCTCATTTCAGGAAATTGTTGAGTTTTAAAAATAAGGTTGAAAATAATAGTAAGAGGTTTTGCAAAATACCTGTGCACAGTCTCTCACCAGAAATGCCGGAACATTATCCGATCCACTTGTTAGCTTAGGTTTCAATTTTTTAGAGCAGTTAGTACTTCAGCTTCCGTTACTTGGATAATGTTAACTATAGTTATAATTTTGGTATTCTAAAGAATTTTTAACAGTATTATTAATTGGTGTATAATTTACTGAAAAAAATACTGCAAACGAATCTACTATATCTTTAGGTTAATTTAAACGCTTGTTTTCGAAATTTACAGTGTTGGGTATCGTTGACAGATCACCCTTTCTGAAATTTATAAATGACCAAAAAGTTTTAGGATCAGCCTTAATAATTTCTTCAGAACATTTCACATAATTACAGTAAGTCAACTTAGTTTTAATTTTTTAGATATTCTTTGTTATATTTAGTTTCTTCATTTCTAGTTGAAAGGTTTTGTTAATGGAAACACTGTCCTTTATGTGGAATGAGATTTTCTTAAATACAAAAGAAAATATGTACACTTAAAGAGTTTGGTATACTTTGTTTACTAAATATTTTATATCTTTTGGAATCACGAACTAGTATCAACCTATTATATTATGATATAAATGCTTCTAATGCAAGTGAAAATTTGTTCAATTAGAAGAGCTATTCCTCATAATGAAAACATTGATTATTCAGATATATTCTTCAGGAAAAAAAATTATACACCTCTTAATTGCATTAATTTTTCAACCATCAGTACATATTCTCAGTTTCCGGGAGATCAGGAAAATACTAATCTAACTAGCAAATATAAAAATAAGGTTTCTTCGTTTTTCAATATGAAAAATTGTTTGTTGTACGTATATTGTAAAATTATTACGTCTGAACTTTTATGTAGAAATGTTATCAAGTTTTCAGTTCGTAGAAGTTACATTAAAGTTAATGTGCAATTTTCCAGGAAAAAGTATTGTCGTGTGTTATTTGACGAGGTCTTTGCATGCTTGAAAGTTATATATCTACGGTAGACGTAATATTTATTCTAATTCACAGTCATTATGTAATAGGTATCTCATTTACTTATAATACTTAATATGCAGACTTTTTAATATTTGGATCATAACTGTTGATTGACGAAATGTTAGAAAATAAATATTCTCATCTTTTTTCTAATTTCTTTTGAAAGGTGAAATATTTTGGCAGTACAAAAAGGTTAACCTGACTTCAAAACAATCTTGTATCCAAAAATTCAGTTACCTGGCTCCTTAGGAGTGTCAATTACTTCTTCAGGGTAGGATTACCAATACCAAGAGTACTTGCAGTGTTTTCGAGATATGAAATTAAAGTCTATAGGCAATGAAATGGGTATTGGAACGCAAGGTTGGATAAAGATTTCAATCGAGGGAATTTATGGAGAAAAGACAATGAATAGAAATGGATACAAGATGATAAACTTGAGTAAGAGAAGTTACTTAACAATAGGAAATACGATGTGGGAAAAATTAGAAGATAAATATACATTTGGGACAGAAGAACGAAACGCAAAAAGCTTAATAGATGATACAGTTTATTCACAAAATTTTACAAATAATATAATAAACAAAGTAGAGACAAAGAAGGAGGCTTAAATAGACCATAGACTGGTAGTAGCAGAATGTCATACAAAAATAATAAAAACAGAAATGCAATAAGTTAACTGAAAAATAAAAAAAGAAAGCTAAGTACTGTGACAGGCTCCTGGTTCACCTACAGTGAATCAGCGAGTCTGGTGGCGCTATGAATGTAATTCCCAAATAGGGGTTGCTCAGGCGCCAGTTTTGGTATCGCAGTTTGCTCTGCGACCTTGTGGTACACCAGAGTGTACTCAAGGTGAACTCAGTGGAGGTAAAAATAATTTCAGGCGGTCACTACTAGTTATCCATTATACTAGAATAAATAAAAATAAAACACTTACCTCGTACCCTACGGTACCCTGAAAGAGAACGGTCAAGAACCAGCAATAATAGAAACACAGGAATAGGTACTAAAATATATATTTCCAAAAAATAAATACAACGGTAATTATATTTGAACGGCTCCCTGCATTCGGAAAATCTATTCTTTAAAAATAAATTATTAAAATTGAAAAGTTTTCGGATTTCGGCAAATATAAGAATATAATACTTGCAATTGTTGATAAACGGTAATTCCTGGGAAACAGAAATACGGGGGAACTTCTACATGTTCTCAGGCGGGAATTAATTGAAATATACATTTTTAAGATGAATTAAAAATAAAATTTAGTGACTTCGTCACAGTACCAAGAACAGACGTACAAAGAATTCGAACGATATAGAAACGAAAACACTGAATAATAGGAACGTTCTCACCGGTATTTCCTGATGACTACCCAGAAGAATGTTTAGGTAGGACATCTGTTGAACTTTTAGAGTAGTTATTGAAGATACCAATGAAGAATTTTAACAGGAAATACGAAGTTTTTATTCAAAAATAACTACAGCAAAATATATTTTAAAAACATCACTCATTTTTATAAAAACTCAAAACTGACAAGTCACATTTTACTCGTATATACATTATATCTAAAATAATAATATACATCAACTAAAATTTTGCAACTTCAACAATATCCATCTATAGCTAAGGGGATAGACACGGCATTTCGATGTGGATGCATAAATTTAAAAAAAGTTTTATTCAGTTCCTGTTGTTGACTCATCATTACTAAGCATCAGGAACTGCTGAGTCTCCAGCTCTTGTAGTTGACCAAGCGTTGTTTGACTCTGTTGTTCAGAAAAAGACTCGCAAACCTGTGAGTCGTACTTGTCAACAATTTTTTTTAATTAAGGATATTTATGGGAGGTTTGTTTGGTTTTTAGAAGAGCGCCTATCCTTGCTACTCTTTAATGAAGGTCCTGGTTATTAAAAATGTTTTTCTATACGTGTGCCCACATTTATTAAATAAAAATAGAAAAAATCTTGTCGTTATTGACTGGAGCAATATTTACATTTTCCGTAATATTAATACATCAAATACGGTAAACTTCGGGTATCGCGGAGTTGAGAGTTTCGTATTATTTTACATTTTAAATTTGAAAAAGTCATATCGCAAGTTATATTGAGTTTGAAATTGATCAAGTCGGTTTCCACTCAGCAGACTGATCCCGCGGGAATACATGTTAAATGTACGCGATTCCATATTTCGTCAGCTATTTGCAAAAAGTTTGATTGAGAGTTGAGAGTATCAGGAATTGGTGAAATATCGTTTGGTGGTTACCGCTGCGATGTGTGTTTGCTGTGTGTCCGTTTATTCTGATCCTGGGACAAAATGAAATTGGTTTTAGTAGACAATGTTATTTGTTTCATCTGCATATCATTTATTTGAAATGGTATTTTATCTGCAAATGCAATTGTGGTTCACAATATTGGGGGACTGCAAAGGTAGGTTTGTATTTCCCTTGAATAAAATGCCAATTCCCTTCTAAATAAAGTGATAGAATGAATTGGTTATGATGAGTGATCAAATACATTCTAAGGCTGGTTCAGACTGTACAATGTTTCTGAAAAATGTTGATACACAGTATTTATTTAGCTTTGATATAATTGGTGTACTATACACATATACCGCATACTGTTCTTTGTATAGCTTCATTCTTGAAGAGTAAAAAATAGAATTTATACATGTGTATTATATTTAGGGCTAGTCTTTTCATCTCAAAGTAAAGTTAAAAGTAACTTCTTGCTGATTAATCTATAGGGCTATTGTTTGTTTTTCTGTCAAGTAAACCTATATGTAATTTTACCCAAAAGTGAAAAGATCGACCCTTAATGTTTCCTAACCCAATTATTTCTCTTCTACGGATACTATAGAGATAAAAGTTGTATTGTTTTATTAAGTAAAATGGAACAAGACGAGTCAGTGTGTTAAGATTTGTTTTGTTTAGGACACATCATTATTTGTTCTTTGACAATAAAGAAACATTTTCATCAAATGGAACAAGTGGTTTGTTTACTTCAAATGAAGTTGTTGACAACTCTAAGAAAAATAAACATATAATTTTTGAACAGTTTTAAGTAGAAATGTGATATAACTCGAGGATAATCTGAAAAGTTTAACCAAACTTCTTTTAGTCTATGAGTTGTATAGGTTTTCATAAAATGTCAAAATTAATTCATTAGATCACAGAATTATAAGTAAGTATTCTTACTTATTTTGACCACAGATATAAAGCAAGTAATGCCACTTATTTGATAAAACATATTTTTCCTATTACAATCTTTTGTTTAAAAACAGATTGTTTCTTGAGTATTCTTGATCTGTAGTTTCACAGAATAATATATATAACTTATCTTTCAACTTGTCAAAACTTACAATTCGTCAAAAACCTGCTAGTTGGCGCTGAGGACTGTCTACAGTCATACAGGGTTTACCAAAAAAGTAAGCAATCCGTTAGCCACAGATTCCTTAGGTCTCTGTATTAATATTTTTTTTATATTAGTGCCATCATGTTCAATATACAGAGTGACAAAATTCATTAAAAAAAAAACGTTTTTCATTATATTTT